TTTGTTGCCGCTGTTGGGACTTTTAATTTTCGTTTGCTATTTATTTGCACGACTTAAACATTTAACCTCATGGTTAGGAAGGATTTTTTTTTTTTTTTGTCTACAAAATATATTTATTCGTGGATATTGCAACTGGGTTCAGTGGCAACGCTCCTATTCACCTGATTGATTTCCGCACATCCCACTCTCCTGAACCGGGGCGCACTTGCTGGTTCTGCCTCACCGCCCCGGCAGGTTTTATTGCAAAGCCCTGGGGACTCTTAAATGACCCTTCCGTAATTATTACGCACTTGAAGGCCCTACGTCCCCGTTCCGGTGCTATCAACAATCAAATCAAGCCCCAAAATAAACATACGATTTCAAGCATTAATTAGAAAATCTGCATGATTTCAATAAGGCTAGAAAGCAAACATACAGCAGCCAACCAAACAAAACAAACAAGCAAGAAGGAAAAACCTACAAGACCCGAATTCTGGTGGTTTGCTTTTCTTCTTTCTTTCTTTCTCTCTTTCTCTCTCTCTCTCTCTCTTTCTTTCTTTCTTTCTTTCTTTCTTTCTTTCTTTCTCTCCTTCCTTCTTTCTTCCTTCCTTCCTTCTTTTTTTTTACCATCTGAACAGAAAAACCGTTACCGCTACGTCCCTGAAAAAAACGCAGCGTGGCGTTTTAATTTCAAGTTCTGATATTTCCAATACACTTTTAAATGGGTGCTATTTCCTTGCTGAGTATCGTAAGGGCTTCAGAAAACATAAAATTCACTCAAAAGACTAGAGGCGACATTGGGGTCAAATTTGGGATTCTGACAAATGGACTTGGAGAGTGCGCTGTCCACTTTAATAAAGGTTCCGATGCCACAAACCTAAGATCTTATACCCCATGATTTCAGTCTGTGGGAAAGTTCCTCCCCCGCCTCCCCTGCTTTGCCTCGCGCCAAAATGTCCTTCCCTGCTAAGTCGGGGGGAAGAAACGGCCTTCCGTTCCTTTCGACTTCAGTAGCCCCCGTTAATGATAAAGTGCTCCTTTCATGATTCCGTTGGAAATGAAAAGTTTCAAGGGCCTTTAAAACTCTTCTGCGTTTTTAATTGCTTTTTCTTATGCCCCACTGAAAAGCTGATGTCCTAGTTATTTCAGAAAAGCTCACACGTGTACAAACAAAACGGGACTCGAGTAAAACTTCTGTCACCTTTACCTTCTCAAATTAAAAAAAAATAAATAAACCTGCTTTTCATAAATGTCAAATAGGAAGGGAGAGATATGAACGGAGTAGAAGCCTGAAGCGACCTATGCTTGGGGTCTCTTAGCCTAATCTTGGAAATTGTTGCAAACCTCCCACGCTCACTAGTGATTTTTAAAGGGGGACAGCGAAGTCCTATGAAAGTGTATCTCCAGCCCCAATCAAAACATCAATTGGGCAGCCTGGCCTCTCTCCCCCTGCACTCCCGAGCTACCACTTCAAAGCCGCTGCAACAAGTCAGTAATTGTAACGTTGCATCTAAATATTTAAGCGAGAGTCTTGCCGTCGCGTGTCCCATTTACAATCCTCATCTGCCCTCTAATTCCATTACGGCACAAAGCAAAAATGTTTCCTAAAACTCACAAACAGGAAAAGCGTCACCCTGCTGGAGGACGGGGACGAGGAGGAGGAGGAGGAAGAAGAGATGAAGGAGCAGTTTCTATTGATTAGTCACTGCTTTTGTGTTAAGGGCTTTCTTTAAAATAAAAAAAAAAAAAATGGGGGGAGGTTGCAGAAATTTCACTAATGTGAGCCTCAGGCAAGAGAGAAAAAAAAAAAAAGGAGAAGAAGGGGGGGAGGCGGGCTGTGTCTAGATGAAAGTGAGAAGGACATAAAGGAGGCAATTGAGTCGGCTGCAGCCCGGCGAGCTAAGCTTCGAGCCGGCCGGAGCGCAGGGGAGGGGGCGGCGCGGCGCTTTGGCGCAGGGCGCAGGAGTGGGGGCCGACCCATTGTGGCGGCGCCCGCGGGCCCGCTCGGCCGCGCTGGGGGAGGAACAGAGGCGCCCATTGAGTGGCGGCAGCGGAGGCTGTGCCCACGGCCCCCGATGCTGCGACCGGGGCCTGGCTCCTCCGACTGCGCCTGTTCCGATCTCGGTGCTGGCCGGAGGGCCGGGACCAGGCGCGGGGGGCGGCGGGGGGCGGGGTGCTGTCCCCGGCCTCCCAACCTTCTCATTCCACCCGGGCAAAGGAGCTGGAAGGATGGACCCAGGAGGGGTGCACAGCGTCTAGTGCGCGTCAGGGCGCAAGGGCCTGAGCGCACCGAGTCTGCACGCTGAGCAGCTCTTGGATTGGGCAAGGGACAAGGGAAAAGTTGAGAAGGTAAACGGGGTCACCTCGGAAAAAGGCCAAACACTGGAGAGAAAAAATTAGAGCAGCTCTGACGTCTTTCAGGGTGCCTCTCTTCCTGTGTCCTAGAGCCTGACAAGCTCAGAAAGATGTCCCCCAGAAAGCCAGTCTTAACATCCCCCCCTTCTACCCCCCAAGGAAGCTGGAACCTCCGGAGAGAGCGAGTTGCCCTGCTCAGGGCACCCAAAGGTCCTTTCTTGGCCAGCCTCTTCCCTCTCGGCCAGGGAGCTCAGGTCACTTTATCAACATTCATTCTATTTTACAAGCGGGACAGCCGGTGAATTTGGTGCTCAAACAACAGAGGTATTTTTTTTTTTTTTGAGGTTTCTAGACTTCCCTTTAAACTACACTTCACTCTGCCCTCTCTCTGCCCCTCTTGCCCTCCAGGGCTTATCTGGAAAAGGAGCTAGAGCCTCTAAAAAGAGGGACACTGCATCTTCTCTGACAACCCCAAATTAAATTAGGCTTCAGCCTCTGCGGAGTGTGTGTGTTTTCAACGTTACGGCACCTGCTGGGGAGAATACTCTGATTTTAAAAATGGTAGCAATTGCCCTTGAATGGCAGCCGGCCCAGCTAGATGGCCCAAAAGACTAGAAACATTTTGTAGGTGAAATAGCCACTTTTTCCACGCTGGAGAGTCCATAAAACTTCCTGGCGCAGAAGCTATTGGAGCTCATTGAATAATTCATCCCTCATTGCAAGCCCATAATGTCTATTCTCAGCCCTTTGTGGAGCTGTTTTCTCTTCTTTTCTCCTTGAATTATAAAAAGGTTGCCTTCCTTTGTTCACATCAAGCTGCTGCGAGCTGGAGCTTTGTCTAGGCCGAGCTAAAGTGTGAGTTTCAATGGACTCTCCAGGCTTTGTCTCCCAAGTTCATCTCCAAGTGTAGATTGTGTAGAGAAGGCCTTCTTTGTAAAAGCTGGAAAAGTTGTACAAATGTTTGACCAGCTCATTTGGGGCATTTTGTCTCCTGGGCCTCGGTTGCCTGTGCTGCCAGGGAGAGGCCGGTCTGCCTCTGGCGCCTCCAGCAACAAGTAGCAAAGCGGTGCTACCCCCATTCTGCTTCCTGAGCCTCTCCAATAGCTCTGGGCTTCTTGCCCCTCTGCCCACAGGGGCCTGTTGGGTTTGGGATTGGCTGGTTTCTCTCCTTCCTCCCTCCCCAGTACCTCTCTGCTGCATCTAGGCCTGGAATAAAAGCTGGGGTGTCGCCTCAGACACTATAGCAGAAAAGCACCCCTCCCAAAGAAGGGGCTTAAACTAAGACCCTGTGAGTCCCCTGCTTTTAAGGAAAGCAACAGCCTATGTATCTCCCTGCCCAGCCTGCTGTAGTTTTTGGTGTCTTTTCCTGATTGCCCATGTGTCCCAGCACATGGACGCTTCTGTTGATCCCTGAAATCAGCTGTTTGGGTTTGTCACATCTAAATCTAAGTATCTCTTCAAGGTCGTGTACACATTTTGCATTGGTTTGTAAAGCTGCTGCCAGCCACCTGGGTCGGGCAAGGAAAGCAAAAGAAGTGACCAGCTTTCCACCCACAATCCTACTCTGGAGGCCACCTGCTGAGGGTACAGACCCAGCTGGTCACAGAGGGTGTCCAAGCCCACCTGGAGAGCCACCTACCCTTCCAGGGCAAGTCAAAACTCAACTCCACCCACCAAAGCCCTGGGCCCTGAAGGGGCAGTTCAAGGTGTGGCAGGGACACCAGGCGCCTCCCGACCCTCTGTGACTTGGAAGAGGTGTGACCATCCCCAGGGCCAAAACTGCAGAGTGGAAACTGCTGCAGGGATCCCTTTCCGGTTCAACTTCCATGGGTTGGCTTTCCTTTTGGGGAGAGGGGGACACCTTTAGATTCTCCAGACCATGTGTGGCAGGTATAAGGGAAGTAGGCTGCACTTATGGCTCCAAAGGAGAGACTTTCTCTTGATGATAACAGGTCACAGCCAACAAGGAGCAGGTGGCCTTCACCTTTGGGTGGAGACAGGGCACCAACACCGTGGCCCCAAAAACCCACATCTTAGGCTGATTTTCCTTCCTAGACACACACACAGAAATCAAGCCCCATCGCATTTGAAAACCAATTTATAGCACAAAACAACCAACTTACATATATGTATGTATGATGTATTATGTATGTAGTTATAAGGCAGTCAACGTGGTGCAACTCTGGGGCCCCACTGCCCCCAAAGAGTTTTGAGTCCTTCTCTCCCCACCCCTCCTCTAATAATGGGAACCTCTCTGAAGATCTGGGCTTTTCCTTAGGGCACAAAAGTTCCTTCAACCCCCCCCCCCCGCCCCGAGGCTCACAGACTGTCCCCAGCCCCTCAGGCGCCCGGTCCCGTACACCTGAGGGCAAGAGGGTAGCCCTGCACCAAACCGCAGTTCGCAGTTCTAGACTCCGACGGGCTGAGGCTGGTGCAGAAGAAAGACTTATAAAGTAGAAAAAGAAAGAAAAGAGATTTTTGTTTTAATTTCAAGTGCATCTCTGGTCTTTCACTTGAATGCTCTTCCCCGGGTGCAGTGGATACGAGCGAGGAGGGACCTTGACCCGAGCCAGAGCCGGCCCGCGCGCTCAGGCCCGCGACGTCAGAGCGCGGATGTAGCCGAGGCGCGGGCCCTGAGCGCGCTGCCCAAGCGCGCCGCGGCTTACCTCGCTCGCTCAGGATGCCGTCGATGCTGTGTTTCGCCTTCTTCTCGCTCTCCTCGGCCTCCTTCCTGTCCAGGTCAGCCTCCTCCTCTTCGCCTTTCCCGAATTTACTCCTCAGGATGCGGCTGATGGAGCTCACTGGAGGCGGGAGGAGGGTGGGAGCGCCGACGACTGAGCCTTGCCCCGCCGTGCAGGAAGGAGCCCCCGAACCCCCAGCCCGGACCCTAGAGCGGCTGCCCTGCACAACTCGCCTGTCTCCTCCTGCATCTTGGGGCATCCTCCACCTTCTAGCACCCCTTCAACCTCCCACGCTAATCCCCCACCCCACAATCCGCACCTCCAAGTTAGACCCCGCAACTGCGGTCTCTGGCCCTCTCCTCACGGCGGGAAGCATTTCCTTTTTTCACTCTACAGCCGGGGCTCTAGGTCTCCAATCTAAGAGAATTCTCCGGCCAGCCCACCCAGCATCCCCTACCACCACCTGGGTATTAGGCCTCCGCGGTCCGCGTTAAGGGAGGAAGAACCACAGCGGACCCGTCCCCTGCAATTCAACTTTTTTTTTTTTTTTTTGAGGCTATAAAGGGTTTAAATTTCAACTGCAGAATCGTTTCCTATTGTAAAAAATCAAAAGAAAATGCACTCTCCCCCATTTATTTTTTCCAGATTCGCGTCTGGTAAACAAATCCATACTCTGAAATATCTCGTTCTCGCAGGGGGGAAAGGGAGTTTCCTTTTAATTAAAAACAAACTCTCCCGCGCGCCCTCGTGCTCGCCCCTGCGTTCGCCCCTCTTCTCCCTCCGCCTCCTCCTCCCTCCCGGGCCGCCGGGGGCGCCGGATGGTCCCTGGGACTCTCGGGAAGAATCCGGGCTGTTGCCGAAACCTCCCCCCCTTTGCGCACAAGGCAGAGCCTCAGCTGGCGCAGCCCCATCTCCCTTCGGTTGGGGTTACCAAAACATTTGTTTCTCTTTAAAAGGGAGCATCAATATTAATAGACGCCTGGCCTCTGCCTTGCGTTTCCTGCCTTTGCCTCCTCGACAGAAATCCTCTTTGGGGAGCCCTTGGCGGTCTCTCAACCCCAGGACCAGCAGCTCAGCCCCCTCTCGGTAAAACACCAAGAGCGCGTCTGGCTCGTGACTATTTCAGGGCCCCGGAAGGGCCTGCCTCCTGATTGCCCAGATCGATCTTGGGGTGACTGTGGCTCCGATGACCCGCCCGGGGAATAGCGTCTGCCGGCAGCACCTCAGGAAGACGTTAATGGGCCTGGTACCTGAGGGCACAGTGTTTCGATCACAGACAGCGTCCTTAAGTAATTTGTCTCGAATTTCCCAGCTGAACATGCCCGGGTTCTCTCTTTTGTATTCCTCAATTTTCTTCTCCACGTCAGGCGTTGTCACCTGCTTTAAGAGAACAGGCAGCCAGGCGTTGGTACCCAGTACTCTGGGCCAAATGCGGTGGCCCCACCGCCTCCAGGCGGAAAGGGATGCTCCATCTTGCACCCCCAGGGAAGACCCCTTGTCAGCAAAAGGACCCCAACTCTCTGAAGAAGTTTACTTTTAGGAAGGGGTGGAAGTGAGATCGCCCCACCCCTGGGGACCCTCTTCCTCTCTAGTTAAGCTTGGACAATCAGGATAAATTAGGAAGAATTATAACAACTTGGGGTGGGGGGAAGGTGTACTTTCTGATCCCTGAAAAGAAAGAAAGTCAACTCCTCACACAGAAACAACATGAAAATGAAACTAAAAAGGGGAGTGTTTGAAAGAGAAGCAATATTCAAGTTAGATCTGCAACTTGTACTTCTCCCCAAAAAACACAAGATTTTAGCTAAATTGAAGAACAGAATGAAATGCAAAAGCTGATTATATGGGTTTTAAAAAATTAATCAGCGTGGATAACAAATATGGATAATTTGAGAGAATAGCTTTTTTTTTTTTTCAATAAAAGTAGTTTCCAGAGATTCTTGGAGAGGTTGCAAGGGGATCTGGGACGGAGGGAGGGAGGGAGGATGGGGAGCAGGGTGTTTGGAAGTCTTCAGTTTACCAGAACCCTCCTTTTGATTTTGCCTTGTGGCAACTAGAAAATTATATTGGATTTTCCCCACATCGACAAGAAAAGACAGACCCTGTGTAATCCCCTCCCACTGAGCCTTAGCCAGTGTGACTCTTTCATTTTTTAAAAGCAACCAAAATAATTTGAGGATAGTCCCAAACTGCTTTTTAAATGCCAAGTCATCTCCGCTCATTACAAAGAAAACAAATCACCCTAGTTTTTGACTCCCTGAAGACAATTTGGACTGGAGGAGATTGGGGACAGAAGGTGGGAGAGAAACCATTAGAAAACCAAAAGTGGCTCCTTAGATTAGGTTTGGCAAGGGCAGTGCAGTGGGTGGGAGCTGGGAAGACTCTTGGGGAAGAAACCAGCAACAGGTGAGCACACACAACTGTATGCTTTAGGGGTTTGCTTATTAAAATAATTTGGTGAGTATTCTAGAGTTCTGGCACATTTTTAAAAATGTTATAATATCTCCTTTGCAAAAAGGCTGGAGTTTTCCCTTAGCATTTATGGAGGAGCAGCTGCCCAGGCAGCAACCGAGTCCTCCCACCCCCACCACACACACACACACACACACACACACACACACACACACACACACCATAGGCCCCTTCCCAGTCTTGAAAAATAACTCCTTGGAAGGCCCCAGTTGATAGGCCTTGTCCCCTGCCCCATCTTCTCTAACCCAGGAGACCACAGGCCGGGAGGCCTCCAGGGCCAGGCCCCCACGCTCACCTTGGGCTTGCTTCCGCCAATGGCACCAGGACGGATGGAGCCAGTCTCCTGGTACCTGCACAGGATCTTAGAGACGCAGCCGTGGGACACACGCAACTGGCGGGAGATGACACAGGGCCGGATTCCGTGGTGGGCCATCTCCACGATCTTGTGGCGGATGTGGTTGGGTAGCGGCCTGCCGTTGATAAATACACCGCCAAGCTGGTTGACGCGGCCCTGGCCGAGGGGAGTGGACACTGGGGGCAGAAGGCGAAAAGAGAGGCAAAGGGAAAGTCACTGTGGGAGAACAGACAGCAGCGGGAAACATGAGCCCACCTAATTTCGCACTCTTTCCCACAACCGGCATGTTACAGCCCAGCACTGAAACTGCTCGCCATCCGGCTGCCACCCACAGACGCTTTTCCAATCACATCTGCTCAAATTATTAAGCAATTTCGGGGCACACAATCTTGTGTGAAGGGGGCAACAAGGGCAAAATAACTTGCCCCAGAGAAACTGTCTTCCTTTTGGGCGAGGAGAAAGTGGCAACTTTGGGGGTAGGGGAGACCCTGCGGCCAGTATCTTAAGGTTTGCTCAAGAAACAGCGTCCTGGCAGAGAGAAAAGTTTACCCAGACGCTGGCCTTCTGAAACTCCGCTCCCACCAAACCCTGCTCAATTGGAACCGCTCCCTTACTAAGGGACTTACAGGAATTGACAACCCTTGGGGCATCTGGCTAAGAGTGGAGCTGCCAAAGGTCAAAGAGGGTCCCAAAAGGAGGCCTCAGGTGGCAGCACGTGTCACCTGTTACAGCTTGGGACAGAGCCGACAGCCAGGTCTGCTCACGGACCCCTTTACCTCCATTCATGCTCTGGCTTTGACATTCTACTCTAGACCCAGCCTGAAGGGCTGGCCGGCTGGATCGGCATCCCCTTCGGGCGCTCCAACCTCGCAAACTCTCCGGAAGGGCTCGAGTGGGCATGCAAGGCTTCCTGCCTTGGGAGTCCCTTCTGGATGACTAACCCCCAAAGGGTTATGGAAACTTCGAAAGGCCACTTGAGATGAATGGAACTCTAATTAATTAATCAATTAATACTAAAAATTCCAAGCACGATGCCACGGAGTGCCTGCTACTACCCGTTGCGCCGGCAAGAAGATTCTTTTCGGAACTAAGAGCTTAGCAAATATGGTTGCTGCCGGGACAATTCTGAGATGCCTCAGGGTGGACAAAATGTGGAGAAGTTGCTTTCTGGTGCTCAGGAGCTGGTTCATCCCTTCCCCACCAGGGCATTTCCAAAACAGCAGAAGAAAGTGGACTGGCCTGGAGCAGGCCTGCCTGGCAGGCAGGCTCCACAAAAATTCGCAGAAAGAACTGCGCTCTGTTTGCAGGGAGGAAACCGAGTGGAGCTCTCGTCCCAACTGTTACCTCCTGGGGTAGGGGTGCCCAGGGAATGGGTTCCCTGGGCACGCCGAAGAAGCCGGTGGAGACCCTGGGTAGAGTGGAGCAGCCCGGCTACGGCCCTGGGCAATGGGCGGCACTGAGGCCCTCCCTTACCTTCCAGAGGGAAGCCGCTGCGCGGGTAGTTCTGCCCCGGGCCCGGCCGCATCATCCTGGGCACAGCTCCGGCCAGCGTGGTCATCCTGGGGACAGCTTCGCTTGGAAATTATATCCAGGTGAAGGCGAAATAGAAAGGCAAGCTCCGCGCTGGCGACCCTCGGAAACTCCCCGGAGCGTGGACAGCCCCTCCCCAGAAAGGCTGGAGAGAGAGGGAGGGACGCGGGAAGGAGGAATGCTAGTCCAGAGCGAGGCTCGAGAAGGAACCGGGGAAAGGGGCGGGCAGGGAGGCCCCAGAGTCCAGGATCGCGAGCCCAGGGCGGAAAAGTTTGGTGCGAGTCTGAGCAAGTGGCCCTGAGGCTGGGGGCGCTGGGGAGGGGGCTCCGAGCGCCGCGACGAGCCAGGGACGGGGGTTGGGGGCGGGAGCGCGGCCGGCCTGAGTCTCCTCCCGTCGTGACACGGAGTGCGGGGATCCGGGCTCGGGAGCATTTATTAGTTCTTTCACCCAAAGCTTGGTCAGGAGCCCTGAGCTGCGATTGGCCGACGGGGAGACCGTCCCGGGTGGCGGAGACACGCGCTGATTGGGCGACAGCGGCCACTTTCTCTTCCCATCCGCGGCGGTGCCAAGGCCTTGGCCGGCCCGGAGAGGGACCCACGCTGCGCCCCTTCCCCGGAAGAGAAGGGCAGACCCGTGGAAACCGGGAGAAACAGTCCGAGGGAGATGGCAGCTGCAGAGAGAAGAGGAATCCCGATTTCTATTTCTCACCCTACGTGTGTCACTCTCTCCCTGACTTCCTATTTCTTTGTCTCTGTCTCTCGCTGTGTATCTCTGTGTCCGTCTCTGCCTCTATTGCTCTCATTCCGTCTCCTTGTCTATGTCTCTATTTTTCTGTGACTTTTCTCTCTCTCATCTTTCTTGGTTTACTACCACGGGAGGGGGCGCAATTCCAATAAGAAGGTACTGGGAGCCCCCTGGACGTGTGTAGCCTTCCTTCCTCTGGTCAATGTCCCTTTGGCCTAGGTTTGTTGTAGAGGGCCTCCTGGTGGGGTTCCTCCCAGGAGGAGTCCAGGGTGTGCTGGTAACTGCTTTTGTCTTCTCGGTCTGGGAGCAGGAGTAGTGTGAAGCTTAGGCAGCCATGGGGAGGCCCTAGGAGTCACGAGTTGAAGTGGGGGTGGGGGAGGAAGGAGGAGAAAAGTGTCTCTTCTTGATTGAAAAACCCACTCTGGGAAGCCGCAGCTCTAAATCTCGAGGTATAGATCCCCAATGCCGTGGCAGAGATGTGTCTATATGTTAAAGTTTTGCCCGGCTGCAGCGTTTGTTCTCAGGAATTTATTATGGTATTCAGACTAAACTGCTGGAAAAATAAAAGGAGCGAAGTCTTGGCTAGGAGCTGAAGTGTCCCCAGCAGGATATGACGCCAGGAGTGTTGTAAAGACTGTCTGTCCTTAGAGAAGGTACCATTGTGCATAGCCTTTTATTTATAACTTGGTAAGTGCCAGCGAACTCGCCTCCTTTACACCCCCGAGTGCCAGCCCCGCGCTCTGCACTGCGCTTTATTCGCAGGAGTCTATTCAGGGACTGTCACTCCGGGACTGCGAGGTATTCAGGGCCTTAATCAATCAAAAGGATGAGAATCGGGCAGGTTTTTCCCTTTGAAATAAAGGAAACAATGACTTCTGGGCTTCAAGTTCCCCCTTTTCCCTTTACGATTTTTGAATTTTTCCTGTGCCGGAGTTCTCCACCTCTCTCTCTCTCTCTCTCTCTCTCTCTCAGTTTCCCATCCCCCAACTCCTTTGACAGTTTTTACTGAATTCGGCCCCTAACCCCACTAACCCACCCCCTAATTAAGGCAAACACCGAAGGGAAGATGGTGGGGGTGGAGGTGGCTGGGAGCTATAGCTGCTCAACCCTCCGAGAGTTGGCCCTTTAAAAATCCACTCGCAAGTGGGAAAAGCAGGCAGCTTTCCGCTGGGCTTCAACATGAAAAGGTTTGACTGACCTCCGGAGCAGCCGACACAGGCCTCTGGAAACACGGAAAAAGGCTGGACGTCTCCTCACCCACCCAAGGGGGGAGGGTGGAGGCCACGTGCATTCACAGTACAAAGGAGAGATGCTGCTTAGAACGAAGTCCTATTTAACCTGATTTTACGTAAAACGATTCAATTTGTCAGGGGGAAAACGTTCTCATTTCCTTTCTGCAAACTTGGTGGCCACCCAAGTCTGTGTCCTGGTCTCCTAAGCCACTGCTCAAGCCACTGCTCAGCCAATGTTGGCTGAGGCTCTCGGGAGCTAGGATTTTTTTTTCCAGTTTTCCGTCTTCAGAAGGTTGATTTGAGTTGAGCAGACGGCATTTTCTAGGGGCCGCGGTAGTTGAGAGAGGTAGGTGCCCAAAGTGTATTTTCAGAGGGCAAATGCAGACTCAACTCGCCGCTGAAAGGAACCCAGGAACATCCAGGCCTGAGTGTCACGTGTTGAGGGCTCGGTCTCCAAAGCCTGTGGGCGGTGACCCGACGCTCTCCTCCCCAGACCTGGCAGATCCGGGAAGGGGCGCGCTCGCCGCAGACTCGTTCTCCCGGGTTGCGCGTCCAGCCACCGTGAGCGGCAGGGCCAGGAAGATCCCGGAATGGAAGCACCGCGGCTTGAACTGGATCTGGAGTACCCATGGGAGGCAGTCCAGTACAAGCATCCATAAGCCAGCCACCACTTGCTATAAAAAATGTACAAATAGATACCACGAGGGTGTGTGTTCGGCTTGGGGGCCTGCAGCTCCAGGGTCTCTCCTTCTCGGCCTTTCCCCTGCCCTGCCGGAGCGCTCTGAGGTTCTTCTGTAGCCAGAGATCAGCTCGGCCCCTCTCCAGCCAGGCGGCCGTCAGAGGACCCCAGAGACCCAGGGCAGGGTGAGAAGGCACCCTCAGTCTCCCGGTGCTGGGCCAGTAGGGCTGCGGGACCACTTTGGACCTAAAGACTTCGGGGAGTCCAAGTTCCCTGAACTTGGTATCCCTAAAGTCCGACCCCGGAAGGCCAGGACCGCGATGTTGGCTGAGGCTCTCGGGCCTACGGCGCCCACTCGCAGTTAAACCAGACCAGGCCCAGAGCCGGAGGCTGGACAAAGTCGAGCGCAACAGGTCGCGCGGGAGGGCGGGGTGGTTCCCGGTTTTCCAGATTGGTTTTGAGAACGAACCCCGGTTCTACACTTCAGCCACTCCTTCCCTATCTCTGAAGGTTGTGCCTCCCCTTCTTTCCGTGGTCTCTCCGGAAGGAGAAGCTACCACCGCCCTCCCCGCTCCCCAGAGCAGGAAGGGGGTCTCCACCCAGGCCCCTTCCGCGATCCCGGGCCTGTGAGCCCAAGTCTCCGTACCGAATCCCGGCGCGATGCGGGCGCTAATTAACAAAGGAGTGGCCCCACAGTGGGGCTTGGAAGGCAAGCGCCCGCACCCTGCAGCCCTGAACACAGGTTTGGGAGGCAGCATCGTTTCCCCAGGCTGACAAATTACCCAGAAAGCAGGCAGGAGAGTCTCTGCCACAGTTTGTCCATCCGCGCTACCGGTGCACGTGCAAAACGACTGAAGCCTTGAAGGCAATAGTAAGATAATGGAGTGGGGGGGGGGGGAATAACTTGCCGATGCCTCCTCTGCCCATAATTTCAGAGGAACTTCAGGTGAAATAGACAGCCGGCTGCCTGTTGGAGCCCGGGGCGAGCATGCCCCATTCACTTGAAGGTTCTTCCGTTCCCGGGTTTGGATGTGCGGATCAACAGTCCCATCGTTGTTGAGCGGCGTCTGTTTGGGCCGCAGGACGCCCTTCAGAGCGCAGCTTCCGCACTTGTGGACCCAGGCTTGAGCCTTTCATGGTCCACGGACTTCTTGTGGCCTCTAAGAGGTGATCTCAGTTCTAGCCAGCCAGACACAAGCCTTAAGAGGAAATTACGATCAATGTAAAATAATATCCCTGACTTGAGGGGGTGGGGGGACGTCTGCCGCCCAGGCCTTTTTTGCCCCAACTGGAGGGCCTGGCGCAGCAGCCCCTCGGAGACGCGCCTGCCCGCTCGCCGGGTCCCAGTCATCGTTCTGTGGTTTGAGCAAACACCATGACACCCTCGATTCCGCAGAAAGGCTGCCCCGCGTTCACGCGAAGGAAATCAAAGGACCGAGTCCTTGATCACGCGCTTCTTGGCCGGATGGAATGATACCGGATTGGTGAATGCTTGGGTTAAACCCGCGGCCCAGAGCAGCGCCAGGCCGAAGCGACCTTCATTAGGCCCCCCGCAGTTGTTTTGTCAAAAGCTTTGGCGCCGCTATTCTCCCCACTGGAAAATCAGCCGGGATGAGGTCGGATTTAGGGACTGGATGGGGATCTGGGCTCCGCACTGAAATGTGGTGTGGGCCAGCCCCAGTGATTTTTGCCCCTGCGTGCCTCTACGGTGCCCCCGCAGCTGGGGGAGTGGGCTGAGAACGTGTGAGCGGGATCTCAATAAAGAACATATGGTTTGTGGGTAGAAAAGAAGGAAAATGAGGAAAGAAAAAGAAGAGGGGAAGAAGAGAGATGGAAAAGAAAAAAATTTAAAAGGCAGCGAGGGAGGGAGAGAATGAATCTCGCGGCAAATTGTCTCCTACAGACATTTGTTTGGCTCTGCAAAAATTATTTTTATGCAAATGAGAAAGACAAGATGCCAGAGCCCAGTTCTCCCGGGGAATAAAGGGTCTTGTTAAAAAAAAAAAAATTAGAATAAATCCTCTCTAATCTTCAAAAATGTTCTGCCCAACTCAGTGAATCCACGGGGGGGGGGGGTGGAGAGATCTGAAGTTTCGAAGAGAGATTCGACAACTGCTCTGCTTGTGAGAATGCAGGTTGTGTGCCTTCGGAGGGGAGGAGGCCTGTGTTTTCGTGGGGGTAAGGACTGAAGAGTCTTGCCGGGGCAATGTCCGGTGTTGGGAGCAGCCTGGGCCTTGGGGAAGAGGGGGGGAGATCTGAGGTGAAGCGGGGAGTAGAGCTGGAGAACGTCGATGGGAGTGCTGGGGGAGACGCGAGGGTCTGTTGGGTTTCTTTGAGGTCTGGAGCAAAAAGCAAGGCAAATGACCACTCCAGGAACTCCTGCCTCAGGGTGTTTGGGGGAGCGTTAGGACGAAAAGAGCCCTAACTGGGTTCCGCTCGCAGAACCCTGAGTGGGGGATGGGGTGGGGGAGATGGAGGTAGTGCGGGGGAGTAGACGAGGTGGGGGAAAGCTAACAGGCCTTTCGCTTGGATCAGGCCTGGTCTCTGAATCCAAGCGGCTCCAGGACCCAAGCCAGAGCCCTGAGCCGCCGCTGCTTCCCAACCGGGACATTTTCAACCACTGCAGGACATTTTTCTCCCAGGTGGATTTCAGAGGGAGGGGTGCAAGGAGCAAGAAAAGAGAGATCTGGGAGAACAGTGTTTAGACCCGGGTCTCTAGTTAAGCCTGGACGCACGTGACAGTGAGGGCACA